AAATTTTTATTCAAAGAAAATTTGTCAATGGTGGAAAGGTAAATATGAAAGTTTTCGTTTTTTACTGTTAATCATTAAATGACTGATAAGTTTAAATATGATGTCAACTTTTCTTGTTTTGTCTTTCTGCTTGTTTTTTACAATTTTTTTAAAGAAAAAATGTCAAATTCAATAGAAGGCGATCAAAAATAAACAATCATTTGAAGATTTACAAATTTCATTTATCCTTTTTAACTAATTAGTTAGTGAAACAAAAAGGCCTTTTTTTTAAAAAAAGAGAAGAATCATTTTTTTGAAGAATTTTCATTGCGATGATTTTACAAATTTTTGTGAAATTTCAAATTTTTTAAATTATAATATTCAGGAAAAACTTTTTTTCCCCAAAAATTTTTCTCTGGCAATTCCTTGCAAAAACATTTCATTTCATTATGGTAACATCACTTCAAAATTCAATTTTTGCTTTTTTTTTAGAAAGCGTTTGAAAAATTTTCAATTCAAACTTCTATTTTGATAATTTTTGGTGTCATTCGTTTTTTTGATCCAATTTTTCATGACTTCAAAGTTTTTTAAAATTGATCTCATAATGTTGATAAGATGTAATCGATTAGTCGACATTTATCATTAACTGATAAAATTCATAAAATAATATATTTGTGAAAAGCAAAAGATTAAGTATAAATTACTTTATTTGAAATCATTTTCAAATTTGTAATTTGGTAAAAAATTCTAAAGTAACGAAAAAAAAATGTGACAGCTTTATAATCAATCATAAATCACCACAATCAGTAGAAATTAAAATGAAAATCAGAAATCGAAAAAAAAAGGAAAAAAGAAGAGAGAGAGAAAAAAATTCTCTCATTAATTCCATTTCAGAAAAATGAATCGCTCAAAATGAATTGATGTCATTTGAAATGATTTGTAGATTAGATGTCAAACTTGATATCATTTTGTCTGTAAGTTAAATTTTGGGGGAAGAAAAGTTTAGGTGTAACAAATTTTGTCACATTTTTCACAAAGTTACAGTTAATTTAATCACGATTTTTTTTAATGAATTTTTACATACCAAAACAAAATAATTTGTAAAATTAATTTCTCCTTTTTATACATAAATTATATGATTGTTTATTTCAAATATTTTTAGTTGTAACAAAAATAAAATAAGTTTAACTGTTAATTATTTTAAGCGTTTTGATTGGAATCAAAAAAAAAGATATATTCAAATCTATTTAAATATTTTATTTATTGTCTGAGCTACAAAAAGAAAAAATGTTACATTTCATCATTTTATTGATGTTAACAACAACAAATAGGCTTATTTTGTTGCATTTTTTTCTTTTTATTCTTTTAAAATTTCATTTCGATTTTGTAAATTTTATAGTTTTATTTGAAAAAATTGTCACGTATTATTTAACTAAAATTAAATGTGACGAAAATAAATTTTTTCAAATATCAAAATTAAATCAATTTAAATTAAAAAGAAAAGTAGATAAGAAATGAAAAAAAGGAAAATTCTGAAATTTAAATTTTGCGAAATTTAATTAAAAGAAAAATTTCATTATTATTCAAATTTTTCCATCACAACAATGATTGGTACTACGATAATTATTTTTTCATTTTTTCCTGCGTTTTATATAATTGAATATATGACAGAACAAATTATGTGGTCACTTGACTAGGCTCTAGTAGTTTCAATTGATTCTCTTAGCTTTAAAAAGCCAATTTAGAATTTTCCCTTTCTTAGCTTATTTCATATCTTTAGCTCATTATAATATGTTGTCACCCATGACCATTTTTCCTTCTTAAATCTTTCTTGATTTAAGTTGAATTTTTGTCACCATGTAATTAGTTATATAAATATATTTCTAAATAAATTATCCAATCTAATCCGTATTTTCAGTGCAATTTAATAATTTTAATTTAATTAAGGTTTAATTTATATGTTACCCATAATTTATTTCACTATTTATAACAATTATTTTTGGTTCAAATTTTATTTCGTGTTGATTTTTTATTTTTTTAAATTCTTTTTTAATTTATATATACAAATTTTTATTGCAGTTTTTTTTATCTTTTTCTTTTAAAATTTTCATCAAATGTACTCTGCACATTTCTTGATGGTTGTATCCTAAATTAAATTATCCATTAATGATTTAATATTAATTCATATTCTTAATTTCTAATATTTATTCATTAAAAACTCAACTTCCCTATTACATCATTTATTCATTCATTCTTCTCTTTCGTCTCCGTCTATTTCATTCCTTAAATAAGTTTATAAATATTATTGATATTGCGATGGAAGAAGAGAGACGACGAGATAGTTGAAGGGCGCTGATGTCATCTATGGGAGACATATTATCTTTGAGCTATTAGCTTGATAGATCACTAAATGACAGCTATTGTTATAGTTATATACTAATCATAGTATTCCCTCTCTCCCTCTCTCTTTTTCTCTCTTTCTCTCTTTCCTTTTTTTTTAAATTGAAAATTTACAAAACTTTTTTAAATTATGGAAAAATTTTTTCTTTTTTGTCCATTATATTTACAACAATATTTTCACTTAATTCAATTATTAATTATCATTTTAATTAATCAGGCAGTTTTTTGCCTTTTCTTTTTTTTTGTCCAATCATTAATTATCTGTCTTCTTTCGAAAATTTTGGATTTAAAATATTAACTAGTGCAAAAATTAGATGAAAGACATATAAACGAAAAAAAAAGAAAAAAAGCTTCAATTTCAAAACTTCTCAAAATTTTGCAAATAATTAGTAACAATGAACTGAAAGCTTGAAATAATTATAAAATCTTATTTCGTTTTTTTATAAAAGAACTTTGTTTTTTTTTTGATTTCTGAAAAGAGCGGTAATTTCTAATAATGATTAAATGCAATTTTAGCACAATAGATAATCTATTATTTGGATAATATAGGAAAGTGATTAAGTTAATATGAGAATTTAACACATAAATTTGATAAAATGATTAAAAGAATAACGATTTCTGATAATAATTAAATGTAATTTTAGCAGTATAAAAAACATACTGCAGGAAAATTTGAATGATATAGAAATTGATTAAGTTAACTTGAAAATTTATCACGTTAATTTAATCTGATGAAGTCATTGGAACAAAAGAAATTAATGTAAATTATTGATATGGATAGAATATGATAAAATCAATGATAATATATTCAGATTATTACTAAAATACTTTCAAATATATCAGTATTAAGGTTCTAGTGAAAGTTATACTTTAATACTATATTTTTTTTTTTGATAATTGAGTAAGAAAAACGCTCCATAAATTTCTAATCAATCTATTTAACAAAATCAAAATTTCAAAAAAGGAAACAATAATAAGAGAAGTTATATGTACAAGTTCCGAAAAAAAAAAGAAACAAACAAACAAAAATTTGATTTCTATCAAATAAAAATTTTTAATTAAATAATTGAACTATTTTTATATTTCAGTTTAATTATTTCATTTTTTTTCTCTTTTGCAACCTTTTTTTTTGCGGAATGGTTTCCCCTTTCGTTTAGAAAAAAGATAAATTAAAAAAACATTCACTGAAATAAAAAGAAAAAATGAATTGAATTAAAAAATAATCTAAAGTGTTGACTTAAAAATGAAAATGAAAAATTTAATTTTCATCTTCTCTCTTTATAAAATAATATTTTTTCCCTTTTTTCGTTGTTTTAATGTATTATTTCCGTCTAATTTCCTTTTTCTCACATCTGATAAGGTATCCCAATTTTTTTTTTTTGAGAATTGTGCAAAATTGTGCAATAAAATGTTAACATAAAGGTAATATTGGTTAAGTTAATTATTACGTAAAAGTAAAATAAGAAAGAAATGTTTCATGCTGTGTTTAAAATTGGATAATAATTTTGAAATAGATTTATATATGAAAATAAATTGTTCAATTTTTTTTTTAATGTGTTGAAAAATTCAAATCTATTTATTGCACTCATCTATCCCTTATGATCTTTGAGCTTTAAAATTTTTGCTATGATAAACTAATAAATAGAATGATGAGTGTGATTTTGACGAGAAAGTAGTAAACTAAACCAAAAATTCTCTTCGTCGATTGCTTCTTTCTTTTTCACTTCTTTTTTTTTTACTTTTATCAAATCTTAAAATTTCTTATCAATAAACTTTGTCTTATTTATTAAATTGAACATTCTATGATTAATGTGGAAAAAATTAGAAAAAGTAAAATGCTATTATTGATTTAATTAAGTTAAACGCTAAGTTAAACGTAGATTTGGCGTGGAAATTATCTTGAATATATCAGATAAAGTGAAAGTAATAATTAGTTTCACTGCTAACTTCGTATGTTAAATGTAGATTTTACATGAAAAATACCTTCAATTGGATAAAGTAAAGTAATATTGTAAATTTTTCTGTTTACTCTTTATTTGTTAAATTAGACGTAAATTTGATGTGAAAAATATATCGTACGACAGATATATTAGATAAAATAAATTGGTACTATTAATTTTATTAAACTTATTAATATATCTTATCAGTATTATTATCAATTATCAAAGAACCAAGCAAGAATTTCTTATCATTCCATTTCTTAAAACTAATTACTTATTAATGATAGCAAAGAAAATAGTTTTTCACTTTTTTTTCTTTCTTTTTTTTTCTTTTTTTCTTTTTCTTTTGCCGTAATTAAAAAAAAATCATTCACGTATAAATAATAATTGTTCGATTCTAAATAATTTGTCTTTTTCTTTTTTTTTTGCTTACTAACAAATGTTTACAAATATCAACAAATGGGTTTGATTCAAAATTTTAAAGCTTTTTTTTACCTTCCTCTCTCTTTCTCTCCCTCTCTCCCTGTTCCATAATCTATAATCCTATACAATTGTTCATTTAAAACAAAAAAAAGAAAAAAACCAATCTGGGAGAGGGAGAGAGAGAGAAGAAAAAAAAAGAAAAGTACGGCAAGAGATTGAAGGAAGAAAAAAAGAGGAATCAATGCAAATTACAAAATGACATCATTTACTTCTTCCGCCCTTCAATACAGCGTTATTTATTTAAAAAAAAAAAAAAAAAAAAAGACATTAGCCTACGTCTCTTTACATCTCTGTGTATGTATGCATGTGTATATGTGTACATAGTATGTATGTATGTATGTATATGTGTACATGTATGTGTATTTGTATGTGTGTATGTGTATATGTATGTATATGTGTGCATGTATATGTATGTACGTATATGTGAAATTTGTGTATGTAATATGTGTATGTATGTACATCTAGATGTGTTACATGTGTGTGTATGTATGTTGTTAAGCACATTGGTCAGTTTTTTGAGATAGTTTATAGTAAAGCAATAATAGTATGAGGGGGAGGGGGGGGGAGGGATATTTTAATCAACAATATGTGTTGAATATATTTAATTTATTTTATTTGAGTAATAAAAATAAGATTTTGATGAGATTGGAATGTTTATCTGTTTTTTTTTAATGCAAAATATCAAAATTAAAAAAAAAACCGGATTATTTCTTTTTTGTAAAGTCGGAAATAGCAAATTTAATTCCTAAACAACTTCTTTTTTCTTTTTTTCCCTCTTTCCTGTTTGTTTCATTTCTCTAAAATAAAATCTTTTATGATAACTAAAAAGTTAACTGTTTTTATCAATAAATTAATGATAATGATATGAATAATTTAGCTATATGATAATTTATAATTGGAAATGGATGAATAACGGTAGTTCGTACGATAATTTGGTACTGTATAGAGCGGTAAATATACTGTATTA